AAATGGTTTGGAAACAAAGTGGTTCTCCCCCCCCTTTTAAATATAATAATAATAATAAAGTTGGAAGGGACCTTGGAAATAATAATAATAATAATAATAATAATAATAATAATAATAATAATAATAATAGTAAAGTTGGAAGGGACCTTGGAGGTCATCTAGTCCAACCCCCTGCTCAGGCAGGAAACCTATACCTTTTTGGACAAATAGCTGTCCAGTCTCTTCTTAAAAACTTCCAGCGTTGGAGCATTCACCGCTTCTGGAGGCAGGTTGTTCCACTGGTTAATTGTTCCAACTGTCAAGAAGTTTCTCCTTAGTTCTAGGTTGCTTCTCTCCTTGGTTAGTTTCCACCCGTTGCTTCTTGTCCTGCCTTCAGGCGCCTTGGAGAATAGCTTGACTCCCTTTTCTTTATGGCAGTCCCTGAGATATTGGGAGACTACTATCATGTCCCCCCTCATCCTTCTCTTCATTAAACTAGACATACAGATGATTATATGGGAGAGAAGCCCTTAACCATGCACTGATATTAATTACAAGTCTAATGTTTTGTAAAACCTCTGACCAATTGAAAAGCGACGCTGTGGATAGCAAATTTCATCGGTCAATCTTAATTTGTGGTGCTTTATATCCATGCACTCAAGAGCGCAACTGTGTGAATTTTCTCTCTCTCTCTCTTTTTGCTATTGTGAATACATCTGGGCAGCCCTGCTCAGTCAGGTGCATCTCCCTCTGACTCACACACTTGTGTTCTTTTTTTTTTTATGCGGCTCAACACACACACACACACTTCCTTTAGGCGAAGGTGGTGGCGGTGGGAACAGAGGCGTGTAACTATAACTGCTCCTCTCCACCTTTCCTGGAATATCTTGATTTTTTTTTTGTCACGATTTCCCCTTTAGGCTGCCAATGAATTAATTCTTCCACAAATAGTCCTTGACTTACGACCGCAATTGGGCCCCAAAATTTCTGTTGCTAAGTGAGTCTTGCTCCGTTTTATGACCTTTATTGCCACGATTGTTAAGTGAATCGTTACACTGATCACACGGTCGTTAAGGGAATCTGACTTTGCTGGTCAAAAGGTCGCCAAAGGGGATCACGTGACCCCAGGATGCTGCAAAACCGTCATAAATATGAATCTGTTACCAAGCATCTGAACTTTGATCACGTGACGGTCGTTAAGTGTGAAAAAAGGTCCTAAGTCACTTTTTTCAGTGCCGTTGTAACTTCAAACAATCACCAAATGAAAGGTTACAAGTCCAAGACTACCTGGACTGTAAATAATAAATTTTTCAATACATTTCAAGAAATGGTCCCCCATCCACGCTCTCACCAGGACTCAGCCTGCTTAGCTTCCCAAGACTAGGCATGTTCTTACATTCACTTCTTCAATGAAATCAGTCTGTTTGATCACTGTTATAGTTACCTATCACTTTTTCCAGGGCTGTTGTAGCTTAGCACAGTCACTAAACGAATGGCTGTAAGACGGGTTCTTGGTATAGGTTGGTGTAGGTATAGGTTCTCCTGCTTGAGCGGGGGGCTGGACTAGAAGACCTCCAAGGTCCCTTCCAGCTCTGCTCTATTCTATCGGCATAGGTAGACACAAGTCAAAAGGGAAAGAGGCTGGAAATTTCCCCCTGGCATTTGATTTTCTAAGTAGAGAGTCTGTTGGTGGATGGAAGGAACACCTGTTTGACTTTTTCATTCCCTCAGCAGGGAATAGCTGGACGATGGCCTTCCGAAATGCCAGCCAACTGCCCTCACCGAGGGAGAGCTGACCAGAAAGAGTATGGAGAAAATGCACTAAGGCCACTTCTCTTCAATACGGACAGGCCTTCTTGCTGGCCACTACGAATGGAAGAATATTTCAAGGTGATGAAAAGACCCTAAAAATGGGGTGAGGATCCTGCATTACTGAAAAGAAGAAGGAGAAGGAGAAGGAGAAGGAGAGGAGGAGGAGGAGGAGGAGGAGGAGGAAGAGGAAGAGGAGGAAGAGGAGGAGGAGGAAGAAGAGGAGGAGGAAGAGGAAGAGGAAGAGGAAGAGGAGGAAGAGGAAGAGGAGGAGGAGGAGGAAGAAGAAGAAGAAGAGGAGGAGGAGGAAGAAGAAGAAGAAGAAGAGGAGGAGGAGGAGGAGGAGGAGGAGGAGGAGTTAAATCCACAGGCCAAAGTGGAGAGGGCAGAGGGCATTTATACTTTCTGGCTTGAGTTTCAGGTCATCCAGAAGCCAAAGGCCCATCCATCGTGCACGGAGTCTACTCTGGGGAGTCAGTCACCAAAGGTCAAGGCAAGGGACCAACTATTTCCAGGAAAGTCAGAAGCGGATTTGGACTGTGCCAAGAAGACCAGCAGAAACTCCGGGAAGGTTTATCTCCGAGGGCTTCTGACATTCCCCTCCTTCGTCCCTTCCCCTCCAATGGGCCGGGGTCCCATCCAGGGAAGGAGAGCTGCTTTGATTTCACCTGCCTGCCATTCCCTGCTGAGAGCAGAGCAGCAGCTGTGCAAACAAGATGACGACGGGCCTGCTAAGACCTCCATTAAAATACCTCCATCTCCTTCTCGGCAGACTAGGAGAGGACACGTACCAAAGGGAGGTTAGCTAGCATAATCCCAGTTCTCATTCCAAGATGGTAAACACGGAGGCCAATGGCAAGCCCTGGCACCAGTGCTGGGATTCAGCCAGTTCGCACCACTTCGCCAGAACCGGTAGCTAATTTTTGGGGTTGCCCAGGCCCAGAATGGACTTCCGGAAGTGGCATCCACGCAGAGAACCAGTGGTTCAGAGGGCAGTGTATATAAAATGTTGGTTTTTTTTGAAGAATGTTTGTTTACTGGAACTCTTTATAACCTGCAGATTATAGCAAGCAGATCCCAATATATATACATATTTGCATCCTAAAGACTGAGTTGAGTAACATTTCTTCCTACACCCTAGGGGGCTGGGCTGAAAAAGCACAAAACCAAATCAAGTATTTGTGCGCGTTTGCAATCAACTTGTTGCTTATGACATTGACAAACTTTATAAATTACAGAGGACGACTCGCTGGATAGCTTTATAATATCTGCAGCATCCTGCAAAGTCATTTCCTAATGCTCATCAGCAAAGATTTCTGGGCTTTTCTTGAAACTCTCCCCACTAATCGAACACTCCTGCCGACTTCCAAAAGTCAGTTCATCGTCGTCTGTAACAAACCAGGATCCCAAGCCATCAAAAAGCAGCTTAATATGGGAAGAGCAAAATTCTCTTTAAGTTAAAAAAGCTTCCCATTACAGCACAGACAGTCCTCAATTTACAACTACAAGGGAGTCCAAAATGTATGTGGTTCAGTGAAACAATTGCTAGCTTAATTCTGCCCCATTTTACGACCTTTTTTGCCACTGTTGTTAAGCAAATCCCTGTGGTTGATAAGTTAGTAACCCGGTTGTTAAGTGAAACGGGCTTCCCCCATTGACTTTGCTTGTCAGAAGATCGCAAAAGGGGATCGCGTGACTCCAGGATACGGGCGTCCGTCGTAAGTATGAGCCAGCTGCCAAGTATCTGGATTTTGATCACGTGACCCTGGGATCATGCAAAGTTCGTAATGGTGAAAAATGGACATAAGTCGTATTTTTCAGCATTGTCGTACCTTTGAACGGTCACTAAACAAACTGTTGGAAGTTGAGGACTCCCTGTACTATTATCCCTTAATGTCAAATTCTCTCACCTTCTGTAGTTGAAACACCTTTTTTGAATGATCTTGTCTTTCAGTTATTCCTTTTCTTAAACCTAGTTTGTTTGTTTTTTTAAAAAAAACAAGCTTTTTGTTCCTCTTATCTATTCCTTCGTGAAAGTCCTCTGAATCCTTTTGATAACTTTCTTCCAGTGTGCTTTGACTCCTGTGTCTGCTGAGGAATTCATTTTATAGCTTACCATCCCTTGCAAGTTTAAGACAAACTCCCAAGTGGGAGACAAAGAAAAAACACACACAAGGATTTGGGGCTTGAGTTGGGTAGATCCCAATAGGGATGATTTTTAGGGAAGGTTTAATCTTCTTTCTCACCTCGTTCCCTGCCGGTAAATCTGAAGTCCGGCAATTCAAAAGGCCCCCAAATTTGGTTTTCTTGCTTTGCAGGAAAAGATCTTGAAAGCATCCCCTTCAGGGATGACCTGCCTCTCCTTAAGAGCTGTGATAATTCTCCATGACAACCTGCCTCCTGAAGCAACGGATGGCGGAGAGGGTGCCAAAATTTGCCAGCAGCACTGGGGAAAGAAAAAAAAAAAAAGATATATGTGTCCAGATGAATGAATGCAACCAAGACCTTTAAACTTTTTTCCATAGCAAGAGTAGCGAGCCTGGATCAAGCATTATTATTATTATTATTTTTTGCACAGTGTCTTTCCCCCCTTTTTCAATATTCCAATCTTTTCTGCCATTTACAGGAGATTCTTCCTTCTGCATCATAAATCCCGCAATTGTTTTCTACTGTCGTTTACTGTGTTTTAGCTAAAGGAGGGAAGGAAAAACCAAGCCTTTTATTTCCAGCTTTTTAAACCTTCTAGGGTTCCCCAGGCATCACTGCGTCCCAGTCATGAGGACTAGGAATTTAAAAACAAAAACAAAAAAAAACCCCAAAACAAAAGGAAAGTGAATTCTATTTAAAACAGTCAGATTTTGGATTCTGTTGGGTTTTTGAAAGAGGGGAAAGGAAAGGAGAGGACAGGGGAGGGGTGGGAGAGATGCTCATATGAGTTGCCTTCCTGAATTTGCTTCTTTCTCAAAAAGTAGAAGAGAAATGGAGAAATGGAGGCCAGGCCTAGGGGATCCCACTCTTACATTCTTTAAAAATAAACTTTCTTTTAAGATATACAGGGAGAAACCAGCGTCTCTCTCTCTGCTGCTGCTCTGAAACATGCAGAAGGTTGCTTTGGAAAAGAAAAAAAAATGGAAAAAAGAAAAGATAAGGGGTTAAGAAAGAGAGAGAGGGAAAAAAACACGCTCTTCCTGGTGTCCCTCCTGCCTTATTTCAGCCGGGAACCAGTCGGTCAGCATTCCTGGGTTATCTTTTCAATTTCAACCCCCCACCCACCCCCAAATCTCAGTTCTCCCCACACAGGGGCCCTGGGAAGCATTACCAATCTTCCAAGCATCCGGAGCCTGCAAGTTGGAGGTTTTCACAGCCCAAGAAGCCAACGCCACAAATCCCAGGCACAAATCTCTGGGCGTAATGACCAGCTGGAGAGGCCTCTCTGAATTTAAAACAAAAAACAAAAAAAAACAAGGGAGTTTGGAATCAGTGGTGGTCAGAGCTGGCATGCATCTCTAAAGGACATCTAGTCTGACCCCCCTTAGCGCAGGATTCCGGGCATCCAAAGTCTGTTTCTAGGAGGCCTGGTCTCCCTCAAAACCCTCGCATGGTTTCGTGATATCAAATAAGCAAATTTAGCGGGACTCCCAACTGTTCAATATTTAATCTGTACCATGTGTTTGTGTGGAACTGAGCTCTGGGGCTTATGCCTGCTGGAGAAATGGTGAGAATTGACTTTTTTTCTCTTCCAGTTATCCATTTTTTTTAAAACCTAAGGATAAAATGCTGTGCTGTTGCCATAATAAGAAAACACAGCCCACGGTTCAGACCCGATTATCGCAGAATACATGGCCTGTTTTCTCAAAGGCTGAAATCTTAATCTCCACTTGGCTGATGCCTGGGCTGTGATAAACCACAATCCTCGTTTTTTTTTAAAGATTCAAAGGTCATTCTTGGCTTTAGTTCCAGAAAGAGGCACCTTTCATCTTGCTGTGTTTGTCTCTTAAGTGTCCCCGGAGTACAAATTTTCCCTTTGGTGTCCTAGATCTCTTTTCGGTCCAAGGTCAGCAGCCCAATTTAGAGTTGGAAACAACTCAGACGGGAGACGGTCTGAGTCAACACCTCTTGGCTCATCTGCAAAGGGGTTTGTTTTGGGTTTTTTTGGCCTTCGACTGGGGTTGCAAAACGAAAAACAAAGATTGCCAGAGCTGCGTTAATTCAGCGCCGCACAGCAAATGCCCTCCTTCTTAATGGGTTAGAAAGCAGAAAAAACCCTCAGAGGTCTGCAGAATGGCATCTTTCCAGCAACTGCCCTGCCTCGGTTCCCAGATTGTAATCTTCATCATATTTTCCTTCCTACACTTTCCCACCGCTTCTGTGTCCAGACAAAATCAACCTTTTTAAAGAGGAAAGCTATGAAACATTTCTCAACGCGCAGTACCAGGGTTCTTACAGTGGTAATAATGTGGTCAAACTTAAGGCTGTGTTGTTGTTGTTGTTGTTGTTGTTGTTATTATTATTATTATTATTATTATTATTATTATTATTATTATTATTATTATTTGGATAGGCAGAGTTGATCTACGATAGCAGTCTTTCAATATTTAAGGGGCTGTCGTGGAAAAGTGTGTGTGGGGGGTCAACCTATTCTACAAACCACCTGAGGGCAGGACAAGAAGTAATCAAAGAGAAAATCAAGCTAGAACTAAGAATAACGTCAGTTCCAGGTTGCTTCTCTCCTTGATTAGTTTCCATCCGTTGCTTCTTGTCCTGCCTTCAGGTTTCTTTGGAGAATAGCTTGACTCCCTCTTCTTTGGGGCAGCCCCTGAGATACTGGAACACTGCTATCATGTCCCCCCTCGTCCTTCTCTTTGTTAAACTAGACATCCCCAATTCCAGCAACCGTTCCTTCTATGTTTTAGCCTCCAGTCCCCTAATCCTCTTTGTTGCTCTTCTCTGCACTCTTTCTAGAGTCTCAACATCTATTTTACATCGTGGTGGCCAAAACTGAAAGAACAAATACCTGGTTTTAAGACAGCTACCCCGAGGTTTTCTGGTGTCAGGGAGGCTCCATCCAGACGTTTTGGAGATATGAGCATCACTCCCGCCTGGGATCCTCTCCGCCTTGGCTGGGATGTGAGAAAGCGGACTGGCCTACCTACAAGGGTTGTTAAAGCTCTCACAACCTTTCCTAACTCTGAAGCAGGCACGGCCAGGATGTTCGGCCTTCGGCTGCTCTTGCCTTGTGCTGGGTGTGCAAAGAAGTGTTCGTACACTTCTGGGAACCCCATGGAATCGGTGCTCGTGTCGGATGCCGGTTCTTCCAAGACAAGGGATGGCGCCAAATGATGGGCAGAGCTGAGGGATGCCTCTGAAGGACCTTCCCCAGTCACCGTTTCATCTACATCCTGGAAGAAATATTCGTACATTTCAGGGCCTGACGTTGCTGGTAGCTCTGACTGATGGCCGTGGCTGATGGTCTCCCTGGACCTTCTCTCTGGCGATGATGGTCTCTCTGCTTCGTGGAGGTCATCGGAGAAGAAATAGTCGTACGCCTCGGGCCACGTCATGGTTGTTAAAGCTTCTTCTGAACAGTCATTTGATTTTGGATGGTGGGAAGCAAGTCTCGGGCTCCCTTGCGTCCCAGTTGGGGCCTCTTCTTCAGGTGGAATGGCCACACCTAGATGGAGACAAGGTTCTCCCTTATTCTGCCTTTCCATCTTTCCTGACGAAGGGGCAGAACCTCTGTGGTCGACCTCCAGTGATGGTTCTGGAGATCCATCTTCTTCTAGAACTCCTGGCCATCCCTCCACCCCGTTGTCTTTGGCTTGGTCGCCCTCTTGAGAAGTATTAGGTCTGTGGTCTGCTCCCCTCTCTGCTTTGAGGACATCCTCTTCTTTCTTTCCAGAAGCCCTTGCCCTACTGTGGACCAATCGTGGAGCCACCTGGACCGAAGGTTCTTGAGAAGGGGAATGTGTTTCCTGGAACGGGGTCCTCGAGACAACCTGGAGGCACTTGACTTCCTTCTCTGGAGTCTCAGCTTCTCCAGATGTTGGAGAAAGAACAGAGGAAACCCTGAGGCCACTGGGCTCCAGAGATGCATCTCTCAGCTTGGGAAAGTCAAGTTTTCCATAAATGGAGGAGTTACTCGCTGATCCTGGAAACTTGTAGCCCCCAGAAGCAGTCGGGGAAGTATAGTCTACGGCGTAGTGTAACTTCAAGTCAACTGCTCTGTGTTGGCTCGCCAATGTCTCTTGAACAGGACTCGGACCGAGGGGCAGAACCAAAGATTTTTCTCTTGTCTCTGGCCTTGGAGATGGTTCCTGTAAATCCCTCTCTTGGGTGACGTGGGCTTCCGCCTTAGTTTCAGGATCCATGGGCCAGCCTACTATTCCTACGCCTTCTTCTTCAGCCACAGAGAGAGGGACAGAGGTGGTGGCAGGTCCAGGGTTCAAAGTCAGGCTGGAGTAGGGCCTTGGGAAGGACTGGGAAGGCAGAAAGACTTGCTGACTCCTGCAAAGAAACCTACCGACGGACCCTACGTCGGTTTCATCTTCGCTGCCAGACAAAGCATCTCCTGCAAGCAGGTGCCCACTTGGGATGTCAGGGGAGAAGCAGCTGTTTTTTGGGTGGGCTGGGGCCCTCTTTTCTTCGGCCTCCCCTTCCTCAAGATCACTCAGGAGCTGGTCTTCAGCAGTGGCCAAGGCTGGGGGGATCAAACGGCATTCCTCCGAGACGAAGTAAAATTCAGCCCAATCCCGGTCGTTCAGCTGGATGCTGTATTCAAAATTTTCCATCTGGGAGAAGAGAAACATTTGGCGGGGTTGGAGGAGAAGAGGGAAGGGACGGGGGGGGGGGGGAGAGAGAAGTGTTGTGAGAACTTCTTACTTCTTTTAAACTTGTGTATTCTTCTTAATTCTTTTAAACTTGTGTATTTGGACAAGGCACATATGGCTGCCCATCTTAAAAAATGCAACTCGGGATGGCAGAAAAACCCATTTCAAAATAAAGCAAAACGGGAACAAAAATGTAAAGAATCCCGTCACCAAACAAAGCTAAAAGGGATCCCCCCCCAAAAAAGAAGCACCTGGGAGGGCGAAGCGGAAGGGAAGAGTGTGAATCGAGGATTCAGTAGTAGAGAAAAATAAAGCCATATAAAAATCACCAGGAGATGGCAGCACCCAGCTGCCCTCAAAAAGAACCAAGCTTACAGTTGGTTTGAATGGGAGACCACTAAGTAATCCTACAGCTAGATTGGGAAGTTGGGGGGGGGAATCTAGGAAGAAGTGCAAGTGCGTTTCTGACAAGAGTATTAACAGGGACCCATCCACGAAGGATCAAATTCAACTTAGGAAGTTTTCATTTCTATTTTGCTCCCATCTACTGTGCCCAAGGGGGGGGGGCAAAAAAATAGAGGATGTGTAGATTCTGCAAGAGGTTGGTTGGCCTGAGGACTGCTACTTGGCGCAGATTTACCCCTTGACCACCAAGAAGGAAATGGACCCCACTCCAGGGATGCCCCCAATTTAATTTTTATTATCATTCAGTACAGTAGCACCGCTGGTGTTACTTAGTTTGAATAATGCAATGTCTGCGAGAAAACCACCAAGGGCCCCTCATTTTAACCTTGAGCTACAAATATTCTCCTTTATTTAAATTCACTACTAGGCAGAAAAATAAACTCCTTATTGGAACCTCTTTAATGGGAAGCTAAATCTTGTTGCTTGCCTTGGCTGGAGTGATTTTTCTCTTTCTGATGGGGATTTTACTACGCACGACGTTCCCAATTTTATTAATCATTTATTCCCCCCCCCCTCAAACACAAGGTTTCTCCCATCACCAAGACAGGGACTTTGTTCAGGAATAACAGCTATCTTCCCAGGTGAATCAAGGAGAGAAGTTAGAACGAAGAAGAAATTTCCTGACAGTTAGAACAATTAACTAGTGGAACGGCTTCCCTCCAGAAGTGGTGGATGCTCCAACACTGGAAGTTTTGAAGAAGAGACTGGACAGCCATTTGTCTGAAATGGTATAGGGTCTCCTGCTTGAGCAGGGGGTTGGGCTAGATGACCTCCAAGGTCCCTCCCAGCTCTGTTATTCTGTTCTGAACTGTTTTGTTCTGACTTTTCAGGCCGGTCCTTGATTCAAAAGTCCTTGGCGGTGTCCCAATCCACCAGGGCTGTTTGGATGCCATTGTTCCTTTGGCATTTGAAGGAGTTTGCTTGTACCCTCCCCATAGCAAAGTGACTTTGCTGGTCACCCTTTTCCAGACTTGTAAAAGAGGGGTGCCAAGGGGAAAAAAAACAAACAGGGCCATCCCAGAGAGGGGGGAAATTTTGTAGGTCCTACCTTGCGAACAGCTTATGCCGGGGATGGGGCCATGCTGGCGAGTGCCCGTTAAGCCTCTCCCGGCGTGGCATGATGTGGTGCCCGGTGCCCTTCACACTGAGAACAGGGGCAGTGGCTGGCCGGAAGAGGCCAGCTTTGCAGGCCCAAAATAGTTCTCTCTCTCTCTCTCTTTCTCTCTCTCTGACCAGTCACAGGAGGCTCTGCAAAGGCAAAAGGGCAATCTAAAATAGACAAGACGCTCCTCTGCGCTCATGCCAGCTTACCAGGGAGACTGTTTCGTTTTTTGGGAACTTGGCCCCATCTGGCTATTTTGCCTTCCAGGGGAAATGGCATGTGGTTTTGCGGCAGGGGTGGTGGTTGATACACAGTGTGTGTGTGTGTATGTGTGTGTGTATGTGTGTGTGTGTGTGGGTGTGTGTGTGTGTTCCCCTTTTCACACTGTTTCCAAGCTCCGTCTTGGAACCTTAAAGGCGTAGCTTTCTAGGCCGAGTGGGATGGCGTGCCCTTGAGCGTGGAAGCTGGGATCCAGATGCCAGATGGAGCGCCCCGAAATTGTCGTCCAGATTGGAATAAAATAATAATAATAATAATAATAATAATAATAATAATAATAATAATAATAATAATAATAATAATAATAATAATAATAATAATAATAATAATAATAATAATAATAATAATAATAGCCAGGCCATCAGAGAGACGGCCACTGTGGGATTAAATATTTGGTTGAAAAATGTTACTTCCTGTCTTATGTAAAGACTAGGGAGCGAATGGGCAGGTTGGTGGAGTTTTATTGCCAGAAAAACAGTGGTGGTTTATAGTAGGTTTTTTTTCAGATGTTTTTAGGACTCCCCAGTGTAGCCTCTGGCCTTGGGTTTTCCTGGTGGCCTCCTGTTCCTGCACTGATAATGTTCCCTAGTTGGGTCATGAAATGTCTGCAAGAAAACAAGCGAGCTCAGAGAGCACCAAGGACCCCACAATCATTCTCTCCTCTTCCTCCTCCATCTCCTCCTCTCCATAAACCCCACACCCTCCTAGCACTGATGATGTTACCTAGTTGGGTCATGAAACGTCTGCAAGAAAACAAGCAAGCTCAGAAAGCACCAAGAACCCCACACAGTCCTCCTCCTCCTCCTCCTCCTCCTCCTCCTCCTCCTCCTCTTCTTCCTCTTCCTCTTCCTCTTCCTCTTCCTCTTCTTCTTCTTCTTCTTCTTCTTCCTTCTTCTTCTTCTCCTCCTCCTCCTCATTTTGCACATCCCATTCCCTTCTAGCACTAGGTGGGTAATGAAATGTCTGCAAGAAAACCACCAAGCTCGGAGAGCACCAAGGACCCCATGGTGATCCTCCTCCTCCTCCTCCTCCTCCTCCTCCTCCTCTTCCTCCCCCCCCACACTTCTAGCACTGATGACGTTATCTAGGTAGGTAATGAAATGTCTGCAAGAAAACCACCAAGCTCAGAGAGCGCCAAGGGCCCCAAAGTTCAACTCCGAGCTACAAATATTCCATCATTTCACCTCTGTCCTTCACCAGATGCCAAGGTGCCCAACGTCCTTTGTTCCTTTAATCCACTTCCTCTCCCCCCCCCCTATGGAAAGCTGGGCCAGAAAGGCTGAGTCAGACAACCCACAAATCTGGGACACCAGACAGACAAAAGGCAAATCTCCCAGCCCGCCTAATGGAGAAGTTAAAAGCGAGAACAGCTATTAATTTGGTTACAGTAAAAACCGCAAGGCTAGGTGTCACACAGGATTTCAACACCCTCCGTTTAGGATCCTGGGGACAAATATTTATTTTTCAGCTCCGAGGTTCCTGGGCTGACCTGGTATATTTATTTGAGAGCTGCTTTACACCTTGTGTGGAAATGAACGGCTGGAAGGAAAACAGAATAAACCAAATATGGATATTTTTTGGGGTGGAGTTTCTTATAGAACAAAGGTGGATAATGAGGGAATTGCAGTGTTGGTGGCAGAGGAGCTAGTCCTGGTTGAAAAACAAGGAGGCGGTCTTGAATCACGATATGAAAGGGATCCTTAGAGGTCATCCAGATCAACCCCTTGCTCAGGATAGAAACTACAAAGAAACACCAGCCTCCTTTTAAATAAACACAACAGCGTGCTGAGGACACCTAAGTCACCCTTTACGCAAAGCTTACCAAAATATTCGTTTTCCCGTTTCTTCCTTCTCATCTTACCCCAAAACGATGGATTTTCAAATATTTTGGCACTTCACATTTTCTCCTTGTAATATTTCCACCTTTGTTTGGATTTGACCATCCAAGTTGCAATCTGTAGGGGAAAAAAATATTTTCATTTTTACAGCCATCGGGGGGGGGGGGTTGGGTTTTTTTTTGCAAAGTGCATCACTCCAAAATTTTGCATCTTATTTAAGAGCTGT